GCCACCGAAAGTGGTGGCGAAGGGCGAGGAGGAGAAATGCCCCATCTGCTTATCAGAGTTCGAGCGCAACGAGTTCGTTCGCACGCTGCCGTGCAACCACCCGTTTCACATTGCCTGTATTGACCGCTGGCTGATCACCAACAAGAAATGTCCGATTTGCAGACTGAGCATTGATCATGCACTTCTGCCGAATGTTTAGACTGTCTTGTACCCGTAATATCGAACCGACTTTCGTTCGAACTGGATTTACTTGCTGCGTGCTATCCCTGCTGCCCAGTAATCGTATCCTGTTACGCTGCTGCTGTCGGTCATGCCGCAAGCGCTTTTTCGTCGTCGTCATCGTCGTTCTCATCACGTATAGTTCCATATTCTGCGTTACTGCACCTGCTGCCGCCACCTCGTCGTTGGTCACGCAGTTGTATGATTTATATCCAGTTATGGTTCATCGTTTTTGTCCATAATTCAATCAAATGTACTTGATGATGATTTGTGTGTAACTTGCTGTCGTGAAAGGCATTCGAATTTGTGTTAGTGTTCAGGTCTGTTCTTCAGTATTGCTGAAATTTTGCTGCGTTTGTGTTAGTTTAATTATTTATTTTCCGACATATTTCTTTTTTTGACCGGAAACATCTGAATAACCCCAGCAGTGATGTACTTTTAAGTGCTCAGGTCAACAAGGCATATGAAGGAATGAAAACAGCCAAGCGAAACAGTCGTCGCTGCAACAGATTTAGTGACGCGTGCGTTCGTCTATTCGTTTGGAAACATTGACGTGATGTTGCCTTCTTTGTCACAGAATCATTGCTGTTTTCTTTGTCTTAGTAACATTCCTGTTTTCGGTTAACCAACATCTGCGACAAGTAAATTTTATGCATGCATCATGCGACCGGTTGGTTGGTTTTCTATTCCTTTCGGATGTGCTTGGTTGGTAAACGAAGACAGTCGATCAGTTGCGTTGGAACCACCACCGGATCTGGTCTTGAAGATTTATCGAAACTGGAAAATCGGATTTTGCACAAACTTGTAATCACGTCGTTTTTGATTATATGGTTGTGTGATCATTGCGTTTATTGAACCGTCGGTACGAAACAAGTAGTTAATTAATTACAAAGAATTTTTTTGATCAGCATGAGTCTTAAATTTAAAAAATGTATGTTTAATGTGTAGCCCATAATTTGTTCAGTCAGCAGGGTTTCGACCTAACAACCTATCCTACGCCAGGAGTAACACACAACGATGAATAAACTGATGCAAGGAGAAGGACAGCGCGAAGAAACAAGTAACTAAGCCTCGTTTTTCAGAGATGTCAAACGAATTGACCCTGTTGCTTAACATCCTATTTTTGTTTGCAGAGAAATGCGGTGATTTTTTAATGATGGATATGATCCAGTTCCTGATGATAGATTACTTTGACACTGCGTCACAGTCGGTGGTCACTCGATCGGCGTCCGGTCGGTGGTCATTTTCCAGGTAAGGGATAGCCAACCTGGTACTTCATTGTGGTTCTGATACATTCGTCAGTTCGTATTTTAGGAGTTGTGGAGATTTCGTAATATAAATGTGCTCATCAGCGTTATTAAAGTGCATGCGAGCACGATAACGAAACTTATTCTAGAATATGGATGCAGGTTTCGGCTTCCATTGACTCTTAAAATTCTGCTGTCTTCTTAGGACACTGAAAATAGAAGCGGTGGTAGC